TATATTGTATGTATGTATATATATATATATATATATTGTATGTATGTATATAATATGCATAGAGTCATAGATTGTTGTAACAATTTTACTATTCATTTTAATTTTCTCTGTTATAATAATTCCTTTTGTTAATTGAAAAATTAATTATTTTTTAAAATGTTGTAATTAATAAAATATTGTAATTTTAAAATGGAATTTTTTTTTTAAAAGTCGATATTAATATCAAGCGTTTATCGTTTACATAAGAAATATAAAGTATTGTTCAACTCTTTATCTGTACTAGGTAGTAATTTCATTCTGCCATCGGTGAGAAATAAACGCATCCTGTAACCCAGAAACACTCTCTCAGCTTGATATGTTTACCTAGTAAATGAGAATCGTACGTCTCCGGGTTGATTGGCGAGCTTTAGAAGTGTTGGCGACAAGGAAAGAGTGATGCTATAACCCCGAAACCGGCAATGAGATACAAAGTTGGCTGCTTTCCAGAAGAACATCAGCATCGCCAAAGATAGCGGAGAGCAAATCTTTAGGCACATTGCCAGGGTCTAATGAATTGCAAAGTAAAAAAAAATATAAGATGTTTTCTTATGAAATATTTTGATCGTTTTTAGATTTTTATTAACCGATGCTCAATAAAATTTGGTGCTTCGTTTCCTACAAATGCGGAGATTAAGAGTATTGATTTATGCCACTTTTACAGGTAAGGGGGACACGCTTTTTTTTGATAATTTCAATGTGTTTGAGTTATAAATATAAAACGTAATGGTACGTTGGAGTTTTGATAGAATGCCAAAAGTCAGCGTGTTGAACATGACAGGTATTATTCTAAAATGAGGGAAATGATTTAGTTTTCGAATAGTTCAATAAAGATAATGCCATCAAAGGTTTCGATTTTTACAAATTACGTTTTAGCATGTTAAGTATAAATTAAGCCATTCCTCTACAGTAATGAATAATAAAATTTATTTAACTTTAAATATTGTTTGTATTTATAAACAAAAATATAGGAAATCAAAATAAAGGCAATTAAATTGTTTTAAAGATTAGCGATTTGTATGGGGATACTAAATTTCTATGTTAATGTTTTTTTTATCCATATATCATGTACATTTTATGTACATCATGAGCATTTTATTTAAAAGACGAAATCAAAATACACGAGGTGTTTGTTATGGTTTATAAAATTTTTCAATCACTGTTTCTTAATTTGTTATTAAATCTGCAGCGAATATAATAATCTGAATCAAGTAAAATAATTCATACTTATGATTGACAAGATCTAAAAAAAGTATAAAAAATAAACAAGAAAAAACAAGCGAAAACAAAATAGTAAATAAACAAAACTGTAGGAAACCAAAATAAATTTAATTAAATTTTTTCGAAATCTATGTTTTGAGTGTAGCAACTAAACTTTCGTGATATTTTTTTCGTATAATTAATATTATTAATATTATTGCATAATTCATTTAAAAACCTAAACAAAAAGACACGTGGTATTATTATGTACAAAATTTTTTAATACCTTATATTTAATTTGCCATGAAATTGATTACGGATAATAATCATCAAGTTAACTAATTCATATTTATGATGGATAAGACCTAAAAAAAGTATCTTGAAAATAAAAAGATCCTGTTCTAATTAAGAAAAAGATCAAGCCTTGAAAAATATGCAATTTTACACGACTGCTTTTTGACTGCAGGATTCTATTAATTTAGATATTTGTTTTATACTTTCGATTTTCAGTGACAAGCATCAATTAATTAAATTGATGTATCTGTGACCTAATGCACGTAAAAATAATGTCTAAATTCTTTAAATGATTAACTTTTTGATAAATAATATGTTAAGGGCATGTTGTTCAATAAACAAGAGAAGGAAAAGAAATAATAAATTGATGACTAGATCTTGAAAATTTCAAGTTTCAGTTTGTGGTCAGTGGCCGGCTGACTCTAACTTAGTAGCTACTTTATCCTTAAATTTAATGAACTTAATTAAATTCATTAACTAAATTTATCAATCATTAATTAAATAATTTAATTAAATTTAAATAAATTTAATTTTACGGTGGCCAGTACCAATTTATCCTATTTATTTAACAACCAATTTTTTTTAACTTGGATTAAATTTTTTTTTAACTTTAAATTTCGATTAGAAATAATTTACGGCAGTAAAGAGTTAATTCAACAATAAAAATAATATAAAGATGTGACAAAATTTAGTTAAACATACTGACTTGACTTCACAGAACAAGAAAATTCTATGAACAATAAAAAAAAAATCGAAAAAAAATATTGGAAAAAGTGTCTGGTTTATTTAGTGTAATTTAAGTTGCTACTATTTTCCTGCTGACTTGGACATGGCAAAGTGGCAAGTAGCTATTTTCAGGTCCACTAATGACTCTAATCTATCCTATTAAAGGTTTACTTTAGTCGTTCAATTTGATAAAAAACATATTAGTTGATATTTTTTCGTTCGTTAAATAATCTCTCTCCTAATATTGACATAAACATTTATTTAGTTACACGAGGCTACATAGATTTGAAATTAGTTGTCCGAAAACAATATTAATTTTTTTTAAAAGTTTAATAAAAACATAAGCCAGGTGTATTTTATAATTTGTAGTCAGCTATTATTTTGATCGTGCAGTAGTAACTTTGATATTCTTTTTTCATTTCTAATGAAATCTATAAAAATCATATTAGTTATGAGTAATTCATATTTAGGCTATCAAAATTAGGTAAACATATGAAATAGATATAAAATAAGTTATTTGAAAGTAATATAGTGATTTCTAATTAAAGTTGCAAAAAGAATTTCCGAATATTTCGCAATTTTCCTTAATGTTAGTTAAGCTGCAACATTTTTATTTATTTGAATATTGCTATTAAACCTATTTCAAGTAACAGTTACCAACGAAGCTAATTACATAGGCTTGTGACAGGTTCAATAATCTCAACATATCCATGAAAACAATTAAGTATATTTCATAATATAAATAGTTACCATACGAAATATTCATAATAATAATGATATTTGTAGTATCAATTATATCTTATTTATTTAGTATATAAATATATATATATATATTAATATTAAGCAGACAATTGAACAATTGAAGACCTTAAGAGAAAGAAAAGATAAAGATATTTGATTATGATATAATAACAATAGGCATTACATATTTCCTAGCTTTAAAAACATTTTTAATATCTTAAATATATTTTTAAATCACATTTAATACATTTAAATACATTTTTCAATCTAATTTTAATTAAATTGAATCAATTATTTAATTTTTATTGCATTTTATAAAAAGCAGATATAAATATTTTATTCTCTACTTATCAATCAATTTAACAGCAAATTTTTTAATTCAATACAAATGTAAAACTCATTAGCTCACAGTTGCGACTACATCGAACATCAAAATTATATTTTATCATCAGAAATTATTATATTTTTAATTCATTCCTTAAATTACTTTATTTCTCATACCACAAAAATATTTCAGTTACGGGGTTATATTAATTCTTAAGTTTTTTTGGCGATTAAGTTATAGCCAAATTATTTAAAATTTAGCATTAAGTTGGGTTGGCCTTCTTTGTGGCTATTTTATCTTTCGATAAATTGTCAACTATGGATCTCTTCCCATGCACCTAATTCTCCATTGGGAGCAATTCAGTGACTTTTAATTTTAAATTCTTGACGTTAAGACTGAGTGGTGGGGGTTCACCCCACGGTCCAACCCTTAATAAATTTTACGAAAATCTACATGTTAGAGACAACGCATATCTTTATCCCTATAAGGGAACAGTTTTTATTTTTGATATATAATAGCCATGATGTATCTAATAATAATATTTCTAAAAATAAATCTGCAATTCTTTTTTTGAAATAATTTTGTTCAATTCTCTGGAATAAAAAATCTCTAAATCATAAGAAGCGCAAATGTACTAAAATTATTTTACGACTATGTTCAAAATCTTCATAAACCTGCAATGAATTCACTTCCATCATATAAACGGGAACAGCTTCCAATAAATTACTAAATGAACTAAACTTCCTTCAAATCAAATATGAGGATAAATGTCTGCTACCAGTGTAGAAACCTGACTACCTAAAATATTTGTAAAATGTTATTTTCATTAAGGTGAAACGAGTATCATAAGATCAAAACGGAATATTTTTCACGGAATATTTTCACTTTATGCTATTCTTTTTTAAAAATAACTTTATTTGGAAAGTTCAGAAACATTTAAGACTGTGGAAAACTAAAAACAATACATAATTTTTCTTTACTTTGTTTCTTTTTTTACTAGATGGTAAAAGGGGAAAAACTAGTTATTTAGCTGAACTACTTAAGTTATTCAATGAAAAATATTACATACAAAAACTTGATCTACAACGGAAAAGTACCAAAAGCTGACTTTTAAACTCAACATAGTTCCACTCTATAAAGAGATATAATAATATATCATTTTTTGAAAGTTGCATTAGGTTCCACAGAACCAAAAATTACGTTTTTGATTTAGTTTTTTTAAAAATACAACGTTAATTTAGTTGTAGGAAAGTAAGAGGCAGAAAAAATGAGCTATTTCTAAGAATATTTTAGAATAATTAATTTTAAAAATTTTGCCTCTAACCCTAAGAATATTGAAAGCTGACTCTCCAAACGTAATATAAAAACTCTCTAAATAAAGTAAAGTATTAATTTATAAAAGCTTTATTGGGTCTTACAGAACAAAAATGGGAATTTGGAGTTTTCTTTAAAAAACAACGTTATTTGAGGAATTAAATACCCAGAAACATTTAAGATTGAGAGAAACTGAAAATATTAAATTTTTCTTAATACAGTTTTTTTTAAATATAAAAAGAATGAAAAAAGCTGATTTTTCGGAAAATTTCAATTTAAAGCAATGCAATAATATAGAAACTTGAACAGAATGAAACTATATTAAACTTGAAACTTGACTCAAAGTACCAAAATAAGAGTTTCTAAATTTAACAATAAAAAGAAAATGCAACTCTCTAAAAAGATACGTGAAATATTGTTTCATAAAAGCTACACGGGTTTCCCCATAAGCAAAATAGGATTTTTGTTTACGTATTTTCCTTTGAAAATCAACGTCACATGGAAAATTAGATATCAGAAGCATTTAAGATTGAAGAAACTGAAGACAATAGACAGTTTTTTTAAAATGTTTCATTTTACACAACGTTAAAAATCCATAAAAAAAGAGCTATAACGAAAAATATTTCAGTAATCAAAATTTGACCTCTAAATCTAATAGTGCAAAAATTTAACCCTCTAAACTAGGTAAATTTGAAAGATAGAATAATTAAATAACTAATACATAAAAAAAAAGATAGTTTATAAACATACATAGTTTCTCAAACCTAACGAATAAAGTAACTCGAAAAAATTTATATAAATTTTAGCTAGCTGACTCCGTTTTATGTTCTATATTTACTTAGAAAATCTTATTTTAATTTAATTTTTTTTAATATAAAATAATTTTCTTTTAATTTTTGACTGTGCTACAAAAAAAATACTGAAAATATTTCAATAATGTATTGATAATTTACAGAAAATACACATGAATTATACGCATTAATAACAAAATAAAAAACAATTGAATTATAATGAAATTACTGTCCATTAAAAAGTAATTTTATAGCATTGTATAATAACTGGTA